TGCCAGACCAACACGCTTACCAGCAGTGCGAAAAGTAAATAGATGGCATATACAGTAATAAATGAGTTAGTAGGATGAGAGTGTTGCACTGCTGTTATGCTGCTCTTTAATAGGGCTATTCAAATCCTCCATTTAATGGACCCAGCCCTTCTGCACAGTGCAATCAATGCTTTTGGACTGGAGTTGTTCCTAATTCCTGAGGTTAGCACAAGAAGTCTGACTGCGCATGGCACCTAAACCTTGACTCTGCTGCCTCTTCGCTTTAGAACAGTTTGCATTCTTACAAATGATCTTCCTTCTTTATCAGTTGATTGAATCTCGACACCAAAATAACTTACTCCCTGCAGTTGCAGTGTCCTTTTAATATTAGACTAATTTTCCTAGCTGATCTCTGGAACAGATTACCTTCTTTCAAACTGTGCCACTCTCCTCACTTCACTGGTAAGCACTGGAAACTGATTTGGTCAATTGTTGCTGTACTTCAATGATCTGTGTGGCTGGTACCCCTTAAATGTTAGCGACACTCTGCAGGATTTACTGTACATATATTTACTCCCTGTTAACAAGTGGCTTGCACCCTCCTCTATCCTGACTTATAGAACTGTATAATAAGCTATGGGGAATAGCTAACCAGCCCTGGTGTAGTAACCACTCCACACTAACTTGGTCTGTAACCTTTATTAACCGGAGTTCCTCTCATGTCTATACCTCTGTAACAGGAGAGTAAAGTGTTCTTCTTCTCCCTCATCTCTTAATCTCATAGAAGAGTTAGCTTCTCCCTTCTTATTCATGGGAGAGTGAACTGTGATCTGCCTCCAACCTCCCCAGCTACTGTAACTACAAGAAATGCCCTCTTCAGTCATCATCAATGTACTAAACAGTTTACTCAGTTCTCACTTTGACTAGTCTGAGTCACAATTAGAAAATAGAATCAGTGACCTTTAATTATTTAAAGCAAAGTTTAATTGAAATCAACCTTGTGCAAATGTCTGGGCTTTTTTTCTTACTAAATTGTCTCTAAGCCACATACAGTACGGTACCAGCAGCTGAAGCTGTTGCAGACGGCTTACACATACAACTACTTTGTTACAGTCTGATACAAACACTGTACAAAACAATGTGTTTAAATGGAAGTATAATAAAAATTTCATGCGATACTTACAGTATAAATTAAGGCATAGCCACAGTAATCAAATATTTTGTGTTCTACTCTGGAGAGAAAAGTTCACACAAAGATACAGTATCATACAAATGGAATACAAGTGTAACTTGCAAGCAAAATATTGACACTTCACTTTTGTTATAGTATGCAAATTATAGTAATTATTTTATAATGCACAAAGTAACATGAAAATGTCTTTTGTGTTACATTTGGTATAACAGTCTTAATATTCACCTTAACAAGAATATAATAAAATAAAATAATAATGTCAAGACCTTAAATTTATGAGCTTGGTGAAAAGGTGTGAACACCAAAGCAAAACCAGAAAATATTATGTTTTATTTGTTCAATTCTTCACATGAATGAAGATGTAATCTTTCAAATATCTGACTGTCTGCCTCAATCTGGTGATTTGTACTGTCAGGATTTAGCTCCTGATTAAACTCTCGCGGGTTTATAAATAGGGTGACTTTTGTTTTCAATATCTGCACAGCTGTGCAAGAAATAAGATGGATGTGCCTGCAAAAAAATGTCTCTTCATGTGAAATGCCATATGTTACATTTTTTTTGTCATTTTATAAGGTTGATGCTGCTCTGAAAAGTGATCACCACGCTAAAGCAAGAATTGAGGATTTTTGTTCTAAGTTGGAATTGCTCTTGAACATTTATAAAATATACAGTATGTATAAACAACACAGAGTCTGAAGTGTCACCTCCCATGGATGATTTTGTGATTTTGTCTGAAGTGTTATTTTTCAATTTCAGATCAGTTTTAGATCCTGATGATTAGTTAACATTATATCCATACAACACACATCTAGAAATGGTTTTAGTGTTATTTGTAGGTGTCATGAAGCATCTAATTAGAAACTTTTGTGGAAGCCATTTGACTTTATACTGTATACGGTATATGAACATAGTATCTTAATATTTATTGGACTGCAGTGAGACACATTCATATTACACAAGTGGTGAAGCAGTGATTCAGATCTTATTAATATTTTTATAACAGAATACAGTCAACACTTAATTCATGCATGAAACTTCTTAACTTTTGAAAGTCACAGTAGCCTTTCATGAGTCTGGCTTAATTGGTTAGCTAAACAGAAGATATGAGAGCTGTGTGAGAGTAGGAAAAGAGCATGTGTATTGATTAATCTCTTTAACTTGTTCAACCTCAGCAAGAGTAACAGCCCAGAAAGCTGTAAAAGTCAAGAGAGTAACTCACTGCATTAACAAATGTGGTTAATTGCAATGGTGTAACACCTTCTACAGCTTTTAATTTTACCAGGCTTGAATTAGTATCACAAATGAGTGCCTGAGTACCTTTTGTGAGCCTTAAATGCAAGTTTGTTTGGTAAATGGTATTTTAAGAATTTATAAACGTTTTTATTTTTTTATTTCTATAATTATACAGTTTATTAATTGTCAAACAATAATGTATTCTTCAGTGTTATGTTTAAGGGTGTAAATACAGTATATAGACTTAATTACTACCGGGCAAGATGAATATATGATATTATAATATACAGTATATATAATTAAACATGGCAAATGCTTTTTGTTGAATTGTTGTTTAATAATCAGTGTCCGTTGACAGGACTTACCCAATATCAGGTACCAGTATGGCTGCAATGGTAAGATAACAGGGATATTGAGGTGTTTCCTCAGCTGCAGTGGTAAGAAGTCAGATATGGGCCTGATTTTAGTGGAGATAAGATAGCTGGATCACTTAAGAGGAAGTTATTTATTAAGTCATTTCAACTATATTGGTACCTGGAGTGAGGGAAATTACCATTTAAGAAAAGGGACACTAATTAAAATGAGCATTTTAAGACCTCTGACAGGCCATATTTGTCATATTTAATATAGAATTTTAATTGCTGGAGGCAGAGTGCGCATGTTCATATTCCTGAGATTATAGTATATACTACACTTGATTAAAATTTCTAGGATGCCTCCTACAGTAAACCAATCTGAGAAACATGGGAATGGTATGACTGGATTGTAATCCATACACGTCATACTGTATAAATGAGAAAGTGTCATTCTAGTCATTCACAATCCCACTGCTTAAGGAAGATTTTGCTTACATACTGTACCATTGGTACTACTGTATATATGGTGTCCTTACAATGTAATACAACACACCCTTAAAAAGTAAAGTTGTACATCATTCTGGGATGTCAAAGTAAATCATAGAAATTCGCTCTTGTTGCTTCTGATGAATAAATGAACAAAGTTTTCAATCTCTATGATTTAGGCCTTCATCTCAGGAGATTTAAAAAGCCAACTTAAAATGCTTTTCACTTGCCCCTGTGCCTGCCCTTGATAACAATTATTTGTCATCTAGCAATCAGCATATTAAACTTTCAGGCAACTGTGGCAATGTTATCAAAGACCATTCCATTGCACATGTTGACTTTTAAGGACGATGACTTAAAACAAAAGAAAAAGTGAATGCAGAGGAATTGCCTCTTGAGACAGGAAGAAAGACAGTAAGAGATTTGTGGTTTGCTATTAAAATATCATTAAAGCCATCATGCGCCATGCAGAATTGAGGGTTGTACAGTACATTTCCAATACAAAGCCCTTTTTGATGTCTTGTAGATAAAACAATCAACATGATCAAAGCTTTGACATGATTCATCTAATCATTATAAAGCTACAATGAATCTTGCATCCCTGATACGATAGCCTGTAACTTACTGTACGCAATTTTTTTTTCATCAATGTCGGCTCTTCTCAGTGTGGAATTATACTTAACAAATGCAGTTAGAATCTTAATTCTTAGAAAATTTCAATGTCTTACTAATTAGTAATGACAATTTTTGAATGGGATCCAATAGAAAACCTGTATATTTATGGGCTACACACTTTTTTTGTTTCGGTGCAAAATATGTTTGATTTGTTATGTAAATTGGTTTTTACTCTTTATCATTACCTTCATTAAATTTACATTCAGCCAATTTTTATTAATGCTGTTAAATATACTGTATGTTTTGATTTATAATCATGATAACAACCATTCCACTGCAAATGTAAACAATAGGGTTCATTTTTAACTTCATAAATAGAATAATAAAGAAACAGTATTAAAGAATTGCCTACTTTTAATCCAGCATACAGTAGATAGGTATTTAAATACTGCAAAACAGCAAAAATAAAACATAATGTACAGTACAGGTACTGTATGTCTGTCCCAGTGCATTGGTAGTAATAACTCTACTCCATTAAACTACAGTATGTGTAATAACCTGGCTTTCTCAGGTTGATTTCCTGTCAAAGCTATGAGGGATTCAACCAGATCAGTCTTAATTTGAAGCTAACAGGTTAAGCTGAATAAGCTTTGTTTTCTCTTAACACGACGAGTCCTTGAAATCTGTAAACTGTAAATTTGTCTTGGAAAACACAGCAATGCCTGATGCGCACTGCACTCCAAAAAAACGGAATGTCTTTATCATGTGTCACATTGTATTCAGATGATTGATGCTGCTTTAGCAGATCTTTTAACATCAAAGCCTACTATTATTTTTCTATACATATTAGATGTATATATATTCACAAAGTTAACCAGAAAGACAGGGAAACAGTCTCACTTCAACCTTGAAACTTGATTTTAGAACAGCCAGAGAACCACTGGCTTCTTCAGAGTCTTATCACAACAGTGCAGTACACAAATTCTTGTCACACATGTCCACGTCGAAATATGGTTAAGGTTTCCAAAGATGTGTTACTCAAATCCTCCATGATGATTTCAAATCAAGCGGTTCCTTTTTGTCTGTCCCTGGTCTTTTTGATAAGGATGTCCCATTTGTTGTGTTTTTTTTTTCTGCAGAGCTCCACATGTCCTGTTACCCCATGTACTGTATTTACCCAGAGGGAGTTGTGCTGAGGGAAAGGGTCGTGCAAGACTGAGCAAGTGAGTTTTTAAAATTAAAATAAAAAAAAATTGTGTTTCTGCACAACAAACACCTTGTCAAATCAGACATTAATACTTTGCTGACAAATCTTTTTTTTTCTTTTCCAAAACTCAGCAATTTTTTCCAGTCTATTTAAATGTAAATGAAGATAATTGACACTGATATTTTGGAACTGACAGAGGGATGTTTCCCTGCCTCTAACTAAAGACAGTCAGTAATCAGTCTGTTTAATGTGAGATAAATCATTTGAACTTCGACAGCTTATCTGGAATCCTCCCAGCTGCACCCAAGCTCAGTGCAGGGCACTAAATGCTCCTTCTGAAATGGGAAAAGAAATAAGATAGAGCCAATTATTAATTAAAATACTGTATATGCTTCTGATTGTAAATGTGCAATTGCCTTGGATGAGAAAGAGTTTTTAGAGGCTAGAATTAGTATACTCAGACTTGTGAGTAATGCTGAAACACCAGAGAGCCAAGAGATACAGTAATGTGATTTAGGAAATCATTTGGTGCTGTATTTTATTATTAAGTTACTGAACCTGAGGCATAAATCTTGCTTCACCACTGTCATTGGTAGTCAAATATGGAAAACAATTGCAGTATATCTCACCTTGGGTAAGAAAATATCAGCACCAATTAATGTTTCTAGTGAAGGTCTTAATCCTGGCACACATAACATCAAAGCTGAAGATAAAAGAAAGTCAAATGTTCTTTAAAACTAGCAATCATATAATAGTTTCCTAAACTATATCACCATCTCTCCTTTTTGATGATGCAGCAATATTAGAAGCTCAGTATCCAATAAAGCATTCTCAGAGTTTGGACAGTGTTCCACCCTTGAGAAATGCATCAGATTTTGAAATGCCTGAGGCAAGGAAAAGAAAGGCACCAGAGGTTTAAGATGAAGAAAGGGGATAGTGGAAAAAATCTGGGTATCTCCCTGTGAACTTGTGGTGACTCTCCGTTTTCCCATGGGGCAAATGCAGCAGGTGTAATTTATCTTTCATGAGGGGGAAGCCTAAGCTCTCCCTTCTGCCTCCTTCTTGTGTTGTGAATCCTGTCAGAAAACATTTAACCTTTAAAATTCCTCTTGGGAACAGGGAGCTGTCTATTCTGTGTGTAGTCAGTGAAACCTTAACATAGCTTAAATATATATTGCCAGAATAGTGTAAATCCCCTTTATCCCACCAAATGAGGTTTTCAGTTTTTTTATTTATTTTACTTTCAGTAACTGAACCAGAAAAGACTTATTTGTCTTTCCTTAAGGAATTATCATGTCACTGGGGGAATAACAGGCAACTGTTTTTGTTGTAAGATAACACATAACCAATGACTGTAAAGTAATTAGTCTGTTCTTGAGCCCATTACCTTACCAGGATAGAACATACTGTATCCTGGTTTTGGTAGCATTAAGCACACTGAAAGTACATAACTCCATTCTTGATGGACTCTATTCTACCATAGTTCACCCTCCAGTGACAATACCCATTTACTGAACTGATTAAATTGAAGTAAAAGGGATAAGGTCCCAGGGTGCAACAGCAGTTTCTTCAGTGGGGATTTTAACACACAATCCTCCAATTAGCTCATAGTGTGAACCATAACACTTCACTGCCACTAAGTCTTTGCAGTATAGTTTTGGGACATTGTAGGAGGCCATTATCTTTTTTTACTTCCTTTGAGATGCAATTACTGTGTGTTCAGTGGTAACTTCTTTAGTTGACAATGTCTTTGTGAAGATTTATTTTTTACTCTACCCCCTCTAAAAGCATTGTACACATTTCACATTTTGCAGTCCTTTCCATTTCTCTAAATCCACTGCTTTAATAGTGTCTATCTGGTCAGCCAGCCAGCTCTTTAGAAGGAAGGGAGCCTTTTGAAGCATTGCAAAAGTACAATGTATACCAAATAGAAAGCTTTCAGAGGACAGCACTAAGCTTGCTCTGTCCCCCCTGCTTTTATGCTTCCATAAGCAGTGTTAACAGTCCGCATGATTTATTCTTTATAGCTTCTTGAGATAAGCATCATAAGTAGAGTCTGAACTCAGCATGCAGAAAATTGATTGGGTTGCTGTCAGGGTAAAGGACATTAAGATCTTTTCAGAGGCTATTACCCACAATCCCTTCTGATTAAAGTATCCTTATGGGACAATTTAATGAACACTTGGCATTGTTTGCAAACTCCTCCCTACAAATAACTAAAGTGCAGGTGAAACTCCTAACTCTCACAGATTAGGCCGGTTTGGGCATTTGTGAACAGAACAAATAAAAATATTTCACTTTAATGTCTATCTCCTGAGTTCTTGAATGAAAATAGCAGCCATTCAAAGTATTTTATGCTATTTATCACTACCAGGCCAGCTCAGGTGTCTTCTGTCTTTTGATATTTGAAGCTATAACCCATGATATAAATTTTGTTCTGCCAGTTCCAGCACAGAAAGCAGTTTCATTCATTGCATCATTTTTAAAATCACCAATATGTTATTTATAATCACTTGTTCATCGTCAAATGTAATACATTGTAACCTGATAGAGCCCATTATGAATTGGAGATATATAATATTACTTCTGTTATTGAATTAATAAAATTTGTATTTCAGCAAACTGATTGTAAAATTTATGTGTGTTCTCTCCCTGAAAGCACTAAACTGCTCTCTATGTCTTTTTACAAATAGTAGATTCACCAAGCAGGGGGGAATCTAATGTATTATTCCTTTTAAAGTACAATAATTCCTTTTACTTTACTTCTGTGAAGCAGTATTACAACCTATAAAAGAAAATCTTATGATTTGATGTGTTCATGCATATGACTGGTGTGTGAAAAAGCAAATACAGGACACTTTCTCTTAGGCATGAATTGTTTGTTGTTGGAATGTTTTCTTTTCTGTTTAAGAAGCTAATCAAACAAGTTATTCATGACTGCTATATTTGAGCCTGGGGTGGGTGGGGGTCTTGTAAACTTTACTGCATCTATAGCAGCAGAGTATGCCCTCTGAGACCAGTAATGTAGACCTAATGCCCTCTAGTAGTTATCACAGACACAGTATTGTAGAGCACGCTCAGATAAGACACTCACCCCAAGTCTTTTCTGCTCACCGGTATCAACTGCTCCAGTTTCTTTGAATCAGCTGTAATTGAAAACTTAGGCCTACTGCACATAAATACAATTGGAGAGGGTGGGGCCTATGTTAGCATTAGTTCAAAGCTCTTGATTTTCTCTGTGTATGAAATAATTTCAAATGAATTATTTCAATTATCTTGCACATACTGCATGCTGTCCTCATTCCTTGTGTTTCCTGTTTTCTGGAAACATGGGAATAAGTGAAATAATTATTATCGTTATCCATATCTAGCCCTGGTTTCACCTTGAATGGAGTTGTCCTTTCAGCTCCATGAAGAGAAAGTACAGTACATAAACTGCAGTGAAAAAAGTTCACAAATGGATAGAGATTTTGTTTCATCTTTAAAAAGAAGGAATTACATTTGTTCTGTACATAACAGCACTTCATTACTTAAGGAAATTTATAACGAACGTTTGGGAGGGATAATAAAAGCATCAGTTCAATCAGACTCAGCTGTCAGTACTTCACAATCACTCATGATGTCATTTCCTCACCTAAACACTATACTGTACGTGTTCCTATATGTCTTTTTGCTTTTTTTTATATTGATTCTTTATTTAAAACAGCAAAAAAAAAAATCAGACTAAGCATCACAAAAAATTCAAGTTAAACCTAATGCTTGAAAAAAAGAGGAAGTACAGACTTAAAAATTCTTACTTTAAAAATGAAGGAGCATGAAAATGGAAGGATATGATTTCTCAACAGTTGCACTTAGTTTTCCTTTTAATAGAATGTCTCATACAAAAAGGAAGTTGTAAAGTGCAAGTTTTCAATATGCTCTTTGATCTGTGTTCTTACGTTATATAATTAAGCAGTTTAGCGAGATTTATTGACACAAGCAGCAATATTATGAAGCCAGGCAGAAAAAAAATCCCATCAAAAACTTGTATTTGATGAACCTCTGAAGGGATATGTTTAAATTATTCTGCTGGAATGAATTAATTTCTTCTGGTCTTCTAATGTGTTACTTTGAAGGATTTGCAATATGCTGTGAGGTAAAACGAAAGCTGTTGAAGTGTGGCTTCCAGATATTGTTTAATTTAGTAAAAAAAAAAAGGTTTTCTGATTAAAAGTTTGGTTTGAAGTTTAGAGTGGTTATCACATGGGATTGTACCACATTTTTCTATGAGTCAAATACTAATCAATATATGTCACATCTATAGTTAGAAATGCATAAATATGTCTGTGAAAAATTAAGATTAGAATTACTGTGTTCTAGTGAGTGTATAGATTTATGATAGTCAGCGGCCAATTCATTTTTATATAAATACCAAACACAAATACAAAAATGTGCCATTTTCTGCATATTTTTCAAATAATTTTATAAAAGAAACAGTTGCTGTGTACTTTAAATGTTATATATGAGTGAAAAAGGCTAAAAGATCTAAAGTTCAACACAAACCCATACTAAAAGAGTGGTTCTTTCTTCTTTCTATATGAACGCACATATATAATGCATTTTTGTCAAGGATGATAAAAAACCTGCAATCCTCTGCATTTAAAAGTCTTGACATTAAAAGGCTTAATTAAAATGTCCATTCATTTTTCTCAAGGCGTGTGCTGAGCGTTTGAAAAGAGTTGTTTGTAGAATATCAAATTAAAGCTGAAATTCTGCAGTGTAATGGCACAGTGATGTGACAGGAAGCAGCAGCAGTTAAATTCTGCATATATTAATCTGTCAGATGCTGTATATATTATGTCATTGCTCAACATAATGTGTGAAGCTCAAGAACAATAGAAACAAAAAATAACTGGCAATATCCTTGACAGGCCCTTTAAGAGGAAAGAATATTTTCATCTCAAAGCAACTGATTTGAGCAAGAGAGCATGCTCTTTAATATAATATTACAGTCTATGACATAATTACTACTTTTTG